AAGCACAAACACACTTGCACGTGACTGTAAATCATCTCGACACTCAGGCCACTTCTGTGGGATGGTAGAAAAGCCAGTTGATTGACAAGAAAGTTACCTGTCCATTAGTAAGCAGAGTGTAAGATTAAAAAACCCTAGACTGTTGTCTGATGTCGACAGGAAATTTAACGAATGTGGGAGTGGTTGGCAGAGGTAGGACCGGAAGCTCAGGGATGGCAGAAGCCACCTGAACCACCAGAGGCCAGAGTTCACCTCGGTGTAGGACATTCCCGCAAGATGTTACGTCCATGACTCCAGATTGCTTTAAAGAGACATCTCTTTTGAAGTTTTTTTAATATGAAGAGCAATCACAATTGAATAATTCATATTTTTCTCCAAAACATGATTTATTTTCAAATCTATTTTGTACTGACAATAACTTAGATTATAATTGACATTGAAAATACTCGTCATTGTCCTATGGTCTCTGAACGCCAATCTAGTGGCAGACCGGCTCTGCTTTCATGATTACTAGCTTTTCATCCAGTCCTAAAGGCTCTCGTGGCCCCCGGCCATTATTCTAAACTCTGAAGGTCTGTGTCTTCTCCAAGGACAAGGGACTCTCCGAATATTAGATCAATGCCGGGAAAGAAAATTTATGCAAATTCTGTCTTCCAAGCATACTTGGGTAAATACTTGTGCATTTTTAAAGCAAGAAGACCCTCACCAGCAGCCAGGTGCTAAAGATGAACCCTCTGATGAATTTAAAACCTATCCCGACCACAGCAGCTGGCGGTAACGAGTAAAGCACAGAGGCAGGACACGCCCATGAATGCTGCTCGGTTCTCAATTAATCAATAATGAATTGAAAATAGGCTGCTCTCACCGAGCTGGGAACGTGATGGCACCTGCATCTTTCCAGGAGGGAAAAGCAGCACATTCTCAATTGTTTCCCCTTGCGTGTTAGACTCGCTGGACACACATCTTTGGGGAGGGCTGGGAGTTAACCAAATTGGCTTCTATTCCAGTAGCAATTGGTGTCTTTAGATCATGTTCAATTATCTTATCTGAGAAACACAAATGTATTTCACAACAAGCTAAAAGGTAGTCTCTTTGATGTTTCTTGGAATTGAGTTGCCTCGTTCGGTGGTATCATCTACTGTCTGCCATTCTATTTCTCAGTCTTGTGGTCGTGACCACCAGGCCGGCACTCTGTTGTGTGAGCCCCTTCCAGCTCATCTACCTGATGACGATATGCAAGTTTGGGGTTGAAATAGTAGTATAAACAATGATTGATCTAACACAATAAGCAAAGTATTTGGAAGCATGACTCGTGGCTACAGTAGATTTTCTTGGGGAGAGAAAGCTGGTGAACCCTCTGATGAGAAAACAGTAGCTGCTTCACGTAACCATCTCCTCCCTCTGCAGAGTCCTTCTGCTTCTCTAATCGAATGTAGGAGTTAGTAGTGGTGGAGACTGGCTCTGCACCTGTGCGGCCTGAACCTCCGTGCAGGCCTGGAGCCCCAGGGCCTGTGCTCGGGAGAAGGCTCTGTGGGCCTCTCCTGAACTTCTCAGCAATGAACAAAGTGCACTTGCACTGGACACTGGACTTTCAGACTGTGGATCCGAACCCGTCACTCTGCTCCTATCATTTCCCCACAAGACCAAAGATGCCAAGGCATCTCTGCATTTCTCGCCGCACTGGCGCCTGTGAACTGGGGGTGGGGCGGCCCTCGAGCCCAGAGGCAGCAGCCCTTCCTTCCTTCTGAAGCAGGTGCTGCACGGGCGTGTGACCGGATGGAGGAGCAGCAAAGTATGAACACACTTTAAATGGGCCTAGTTCTGTCCTCCAGTGACTGCATGGCTCGGGAAAGATAAGAAAGGTATTTCATACTTAATGTGATTCATATCAGCGAGAAGCCAGCACCGAAGCCCGGGGTGGGGGATTTTGACTAAGGATCACAGTGTGAACCCGAGGGATGGAACAAACGCCAGGAATGCACTCGGTCTCCAGCCAGAGGCGGTGGGAGCGCAAACCCCAGCCCTGCTGTCATCTGTGACTAAGTACATTTTATTCTTCAAACTGGAGTTTTCCACCTGTGTTTGCTCTGGGAAGCACACTTCTTACCTTGATTTCTCTAAGATAAAGTAGAAGGACAAAAGCAAACACTCCTTTTCCTGGCACCGCTTACGCGTGGCTGGCTGACCATGTGGCTGGGTTCCGGCGAGGTCATCTCAGCAGTCTGAGGCAACGGTTTCCCTCTTCGGAGAACAGGGTCCGCTCTGCCCATCTTTAAATGCAGCGCCACACCCAGGCCGGCTGACACTGCCTGCTGCCGCAAGAGTGCGCATGCATCGTCTAGCTTTGATTTCCTTTTGTGTGCAGCAAAATGAGTTTTTTGGGGGACATTCCTTACCCCACCAAGGTTCTCTAGATTCTGCATGATGATAGGATGCACTGGCTCACTGAGTATTCAATTTGCAAGAGTGATTTTGTGCTTGCATTATTTCTGGAACGTTCCATTTTTGGGTCATGCTGACAGTGGAAGAGTAAGAGGACGCAGGAACATGGATGCCCAGCAGTGCGGACTAGCCTGGAACGCAGCGAGCACCAGGTCCGAGTGCGAATCCTCCTCTGGCCGTGCTGGGGCCATGGTCACACGCTTGACCTCGGGGTCAGTGTGCTGCCTCCAGGCGTCAAAGATGAAGCTGCAGGGAGGAGCCTCACAGCCTGCCACAGCCAGTGAAGACAAGAGCCTCTCTGTCTGGAATGGATGGACACGGAACTAGAACCGCAGGGACACACTCCTCACGCCCAAGTGCGTGCCAGGTATGATCGGTGAGCCATGCACACGGCTCGGGCCGGCCGGCAGTGGGCTTCTGCACACAATGGAGGGCCTTCCTGCAGTCCCCCGGGTCTGTGGCATACACCGAGTAACTCATCCCAGAATCCTGCTGCAATTGTGGTAGCAGACGCAGAAAAAACTCAATTTAGTTTGTTCAGTGTTGGTTTTATGGCCTATGCTAGAACAATGTCCTGAGTTCATAAACCAATGAACAGGGAGGAGGGAGAAGAGGATGCCGGAGTGGAACTATTTGGGGTTTTATTTTATAATTCAACGTTCAAAAGAGCAATTTGCAAGTTCCTTCAATTACCAGGAGCTGCCGACTTTAATAATAACAATAAGAAGAACCGCAGCTAAAACTTAGTTTAGTTTTAAAGTCTGACTAAGCCTTTCGCCAGGCAGGCAAAGCAAAGCTCTTTTTCCTAATTTTAGAAATGCAATGCAAGTACATAATCGAAAATTGGACTGGATCAAGCTCACTTCACAGGAAAGCTTGAGCTGAATGCTCCATGAATATTCAGACCACAGCAACCTGTTTGAAATTGCTTTTGGGTGTAATTCCAAGATTTATGCATTTTATCATCTCCTAGGCATAAAGCCAAAGGCTAAAAGAGCAGAACATGAAAAAGCAGAACCTGAATTATGTTCTAAATCCTGCCGGGTTTAATTTTCCTTACAAAGCAGGATGTTAGTTTGCCACTTACATTTGCCCCTTGCAGGCCTGTGGAAATACCTGGCTTCTTGTTATCAGTGTCTGAATTGTATTCATTTGGAAGGCTCCAATTTTGGGAACATCATTCTAAATTACCAGGCAAGCGCACACAACACACATTCATAAGCAAAGGCAGACTATGGCAAGAGAACAGTGTAAGTGGGACCTCGTTGGGGAGGGGGGGGGTACAGGGGTACAAGGCCCACACCTGCTCAGAAGGCACTAAGGGGCGTGGCCAGGGGTGTGGCTAGGGCGTGAACTGCTGTGGTGGAAGACTCACCCCTAAGAAGCTGGAGCTTTACAGCCTTGGTGTAAAACCAAAGAAAAGAGCAAATAACCTTGGAATGGAGACAAAAACCTAAAAACCCAAAACAACTGAGGAAGCCGCCACTCACTCAGACCCTCGTTTTAGATGAACCCATGACGGATGCACAAAGATGAACACGCATTTGGTGACGTAGGAATTAAAGAGTTGGCCATGCTCGCTCTATGCTCACTTGGATGACCTTTACAACAACGAATTGTTAAACATAAAACTAGAATTCATCAGGTGGTTGAGAGAAGCAGTAATCTAAAATGTAATCTCTTATTGTAGATGTAACATTTTAACTTGTAGACACTGTGCAGGGGTGTTCGCATGCATTTGTGTCATTCAAGACAGATCAGGGAGGAGAGGCAGGCTGGCTATGTCTGGCCGTATTGTCTTCTGGAATGCAGAGGGCTCCTGTCACCTATGTGGAGTTGTGCACATACACGTTCATGATTTTAGAAAATGACTGCAGGTATATTATACTGTAATGAAAATCTAAAAGGGAAAGGGGAGGGAAAGACAAGGAAGTAAAGAAGCGGAGGAAAGATAAGGGAAAGGGGCGGGAAAGTGCATGCTAGGGCTGCATTTCTTACTCTACCCATTTGCTTAACTGAAATAAACACAGCGTCACAGGGCCCAGAATCTGGCTGTCCAGCTCATAATGAGGAAACATGTAACTACTGCTGCTGTGGAGAGGCTGTGTGCCGGCATTTTCAGACTTGTCACTTAACCATCGCAAGTGTCGCTCTCTCACACATGCAGTTTTCCTGGTTTGGGAAGCTAGACTTACAAGTTAGTGGAGGAAAAGACAAGACTGTCCGAGGGCTCTACCAGTTTTGCATTTGAAAGCCACATCCACACCGGCAAATTTTCTGTCTGTATGCCAAGTGTCTCTGTCTTACTGTCCAGAATTTGTTTGCCATTATGTTGGCATGACACGTGGCCACCACCATTACAGAAAAGTGCTCTGGACACGGATGTTGTGCCTGCAGGCCTTGTTTGTGACTAGGGAAGAGTTTCCCATGTAAGCTTTCAAAGGCAAAAGGTTGAGCACAAATGACACACATCATCACAGCGCCTCAAGGCCATGCATCTCAGTCCCTCGAAGGCCACTCGCGTGGCCGTGTCTCTACTGCACTCGGAGCATACTCACCCCTAACAAGGAGCTCTGCCTCATCTGACACACTGTCTGCTGTGGTCTGCACTCTGCAGCCATATCTCCCAGCATGCACCAGCAGGATGTTTCTGATCATTAAATCTGCAGAGGATGCTTGCTGAAAGAGGGATGAAGCACCAGTTTAAAACGCTGCAAACTGTCTGGGTTCAGGTGGTTTGGGGAGGGGGACTTTGATGTTCAGTCAAAAGGCCCATCTTTGGCTTTACAATGTATATGACAACAATTCCGAAGTCAAACATTCCCCATCTTAAAGAATACATGGAAGCTATGGTCTTTAAACAATTCCCAATGAAGTCTTTAAGCACTGAGTACTGCATATCAAGATTTAGTATCCAGGACATTTAAGAGTTATTAGGATATATACAAACAGATCATATCCTTCACAAGATAGGAAATATCAGTAGGGAAAATGATTGCTTTATTCTTCAGAGACAGGCCTACTTCAGTGGTGAGAAAATGGTGCTGACTTGCGGGAAATTAATTGAGAAGGTGGCTGTGTAAAGGTCACGGATGTGGCTTTACTGAATGGTGCCTTTTCTAAGGACCGGTGGGATGCAGACAGACAGAGCTTAGGTGACAGACGGTTGGTCCACACAGTCTGTCTTTATTCAGCACAGACTCATTCCTCCTGCAACCTCCAGGGTCAGAAAGCAGGCCAGCCTACATCTCGTCAACAAGCCACCGAACACAAAGCAGGCTCAAAGTACTGCTTCTTCTTGGGAGCTGGGCAATTAGCTGAAGAATAACAACTGTAGTTAGAGATCTCTACATCCAGGGAGGCTCCTCTAGGCACGTCCACTCAGGGAGCAGGACAACCCTTCAGAGAACAGATTTAGATTACCCTACTATGATAAGAAATTACACACTTTATGTACAGATGTATATATATATATTTCAACAGTTTTCTTTTAAACTTTCACAGAAGATTTAAATTAATGATGATGTAGGGCTTGATATTGTTTTTAGAAAATAGTTTATCTTAATTTACATACATAAATAAGTGGATATAGTATCTGAGGTAGAAATATTAATTACCACTAGTAAATACACATGCTATTTTTTTTTGTTTTTGGGTCCGGTCGTGGGGCCTGAACTCTGGGCCTGGACGCTGTCCCTCAGCTCTTCAGCTCAAGGCTAGCGCTCTACCACTTGAGCCACAGCGCCACTTCTGGCTTTTTTCTTTTTGCTTATGTGGTGCTGAGGAATTGAACCCAGGGCCTCAGGCATGCAAGGCAAGTGCTCTACCACTGAGCCACCTTCCCAGCCCACACAATTTTATTTGACAACAGCATTTATGTCTTTTCTGATAAAATATTAAATGCGTCCAATAATGCACTCAACACTCAATATGGGTACTGACAGCTGACATTCAACACATTCTCTAATGATGTGTTTTGATGACTGGAAATAACAGTTTTGCTGATGACACAGATGAAAGAGGACACACATTTTGACTCCTTAATAAACTTAGGATGACAAGATGTACGAAAGAGGATTTGATGTGACAGATGACAAGTCTGGAGTCACGGTCTGTCTACTGGCTTGATGAAAAGGAAGACTGGGCACTGAAAACAAGGATGAGCCCGGCCCATGGAACGCCACCTTCTCAGGATGCTGCGAGGCCAAGGCTCACGGTTAGCACAGCCCAGGAGGCATTCTGACCACCCAGCCACAGGAGCAAGAGTCCTAGTCCTGGCCGATCTAGGCATAAAGTGAGGCCTGGCCTCCGAGATGGGCAGAGCCAGGGGCTGGAGACGCGGTTCGAGTGATAGAGCACCGCCAGGCAGGTGCAAGGTCCTGAGTTTTAAAACAAAAACAAACACAAAACACCACCCTGCCAAAAAAGAAAGGGCGTACAATGTCATTCTAAGACAAGCAATACCACTCACGGGTCATCTGCCGCTGAGTTGAAACGGGCCTGGAAAGCCACGAGCACACCGCGTGTGGCCCTTGCGTTTGGACAATGCTCTCGGCTCCCTTTTCTGTTGGTCGGTCTTACGTGACTACCATGAGTGTTGCAGTCATGTTTCTTGCATTGCTTACACAGCTTGGTGCTGACTATGTCTGCCCTGTCTGCGTGCACAGCACCCGGCTAGCTGGCAGGGACGCGGGGGGCGGCTGTACGGAGCTGCTTCTTCACACTGCCCGGGTGTGGAGGGGGCGTGGGGTGTGGCCGTGTGGGGTGCAGAGGAGATGGAGGGGGTGGAGTGGAGGGGGGGCGGGGCGGAGGGGGGAGGGCGGAGGTAGGTGGGGCGGCGGTGGCGCGGGGCGCAGTGGCTCAGTCTCCCCTGGCTCACAGGACCGAGGCTGCGTGGGGAAAGCTGTCTTCTCTCCGTGGGCCTCATGGACTTGGCCGTCCTGCACGAGCATGCGTGCGTGGTTCCCCAGCGTGGTTCAGCAGCCGCAGCCCCTCGCCCCCTCCTTTTCCCGCGTCTACTTCGAGCCGTCTTTGACACGGGGCTCATTCACTTCCTTGCACACGTGCGTGCACCGTGTGTGGACTGCAAGGTGGCCTAACTTGCTAGTTGCGCCTGGCCCCGGCTGTTTCTGTGTTGGGAAGTGTGTTCTGCTTCTTTCCTCACGCGGTTCGTCTCTGTGGACACTGTGCTGATTCTTTGTTCACGTCTCATCTTTCAGAAAGGTTCTGTGAACCAGGGCCGCCCGCGTGGAGGACCCAGAGCCTTCGGATTTCTAACGGCAGCTTTGCTGGGCGTGAGGCATGTTCCGTGGCTGTGTCCACGCCGTGCTGACCGCCCGTCCACGCGGGGGTCCCTGCGGTCACTCACAACCCAGATGCCTGCGGAGGATGGGCGAGCCTTGACACACACTGTGTCAGCCACACTCCCCTGACGCGTCACTGGAAGTCTTTCTCCACGTGTGGTGATGACAAGCAAAGCCGTGTCTTCCTCAGTTCTAAGAGGATGAGCAGTGAGTCTCTTGCTTTATTCCTTTATTTTTTATTTATTTTTGGTCCTGTCGTGGGGCTTGAACTCTGGGCCTGGGCGCTGTCCCCCAGCTCTTCAGCTCAAGGCTAGCGCTCTACCACTTGAGCCACAGCGCCACTTCCGGCTTTTTTCTTTCTGCTTATGTGGTGCTGAGGAATCGAACCCAGGGCCTCATGCATGCAAGGCAAGCACTCTACCACTGAGCCACCTTCCCAGCCTGTTTTATTCCTTTATTATCATTATTGCTTACAGACAGGTCTGTTTATCCACTCACATTTGAACTATTACAAAGAAAGCTCTTAAGATCATTTGTGTGCAAATCTTCAAAGTGATAATTTCTTCTGGGTCTCAGATTGATTCCAAATGTCTGGGCCTCTCCCAATGTCACTGTGTGTGTGTGGATCCTCCATGTCAGCGTGTGTGTGTGTGTGTGTGTGCGTGTGTGTGTGTGTGTGTGTGTGGATCCTCCATGTCAGCGTGTGTGTGTGTGTGTGTGTGTGTATCCTCCATGTCAGTGTGTGTGTGTGTGTGTGTATCCTCCATGTCAGTGTGTGTGTGTGTGTGTGTATCCTCCATGTCAGTGCGTGTGTGTGTATCCTCCATGTCAGTGCGTGTGTGTGTATCCTCCATGTCAGTGCGTGCGTGCGTGTGTGTGTGTGTGTGGATCCTCCATGTCAGTGCGTGCGTGTGTGTGTGTGTGCGTGTGTGTGTGGATCCTCCATGTCAGTGTGTGTGTGTGTGTGTGTGTGTGTGTGTGGATCCTCCATGTCAGTCTGTGTGTGTGCGTGTGTGTGTGTGTGTGTGGATCCTCCATGTCAGTCTGTGTGTGTGTGTGTGTGTGTGTGTGGATCCTCCATGTCAGTGTGTGTGTGTGTGTGTGTGTGTGTGGATCCTCCATGTCAGTCTGTGTGTGTGTGTGTGTGTGTGTGTGGATCCTCCATGTCAGTGTGTGTGTGTGTGTGTGTGTGTGTGTGTGGATCCTCCATGTCAGTGTGTGTGTGTGTGTGTGTGTGTGTGTGGATCCTCCATGTCAGTCTGTGTGTGTGTGTGTGTGTGTGTGTGTGTGTATTCTCCATGTCAGTCTGTGTGTGCGGTCTCTTCAAATAGCGCCTGTGTGTCCCTCACTGTGTTGGGCGCTGTCCTCTCCCGTGGGTGGTGAGAGGCGGAGGGCTTGGGAGCCGCCGGGCTGGCCGGCTCCTCCGGGGAGGAGGGGGTGGCGGTGGAGTCTGCTGCGGGGGTCCAGGCGGGCAGCGGTGCGCGCAGTGTTGGCCTGTGAGGAATTCTGCAGCGGTTTCAAGGTGGCACTTGTTTGGGGCAGATGGTGCCTCGGGGCCTCACACTCCCGCAATCGTATCTGAGCAGTGCCCGGCCCACAGCTGCTCCGGGACACGGCGCTGGCAGGGCCGCTGCGAACCCCAGCACACGAAGCCCCCTCCTCAGTAGGTCTGTGCTGGAGGCAGATGGGGAGAGGACCAGCCGGAGAGGCTCTGCTTCACTTCCGCCTCAGCCTGGGATCTATAGTGACAGAGCTAGTCACAGCTCCACCATCAGGAAAGCTCTAGAACAGCCACGGCACAGAAGCAATCGCTGCGCTTGCAAGTTTTCCCCACACGCGCGTGCGCACACACACGCGCGTGCGCACACACACGCGCACGCACCCACCAGGCGTTCCCTAGCCTGTGTCTCTTGTCCAGACAGGAAGTGACACTTTGAAACCTGCCACAGGCGTCTGTGGCTGCCCCTGGGGTCTCGGTGGACCACAGTGTCACAGAGACAAGTCCGTTTGTCCCACATGACCAGAGAGCAGAGAGCAGCGTGCTGTGTGACCCCCGTGAGAGCTGAACAGCTAGCTGTGCGTGATGGGCTGTGTTAAAATAGTGCAGGAATGGCAGCAGGAAAATGATTTGAGCGTGCAGGGATCAATACCCGTCGCCTGTGGGCCCGGTGTGTGCAGCTGTGTAGAAACCAGGGCCAGGAGCCGGGCCTTGTCTGCGAGCAGGTTAAATGTTCTCGCAATTTATTTTTAAATTTAGGGTTGTGAGATATTCACAACTTCTGAGGTGACCATAGTGAGTATTTCAATGACCAGAATCTTTAGGCTAGCGGCATCATCTCCATTCATGGCTTCATGTCTGATACTGAGAATTCTTTT